ATTCACCGTCTTGAGTTACATATATAAAAAAGGTGGGAATAAAAACAACAACATCTGGAGCACCACTTGAAGACCATCAGCATTGACAAAATCCCCATCAGTCAATTGCAAAAGGCAGCTTTACTTAGAACAGCTTACATCCTGTAATCATACCTTTAACACCATCAAACAACATCTGCCTATCCCAGGTCCTTGGGAAGGACTCGATAGGTGGATAAAAATGCCAAATTCAGCGTAAACATCTGGCTGACTATGCGACCAACAATAGTAATGGATGATTTCCTACTTTAAGTAAAATGGAAAAAGATTCCCAAGATTTTACAAAGGAAGAAGAATGAAAAGTTGGGGGGGGGGGAACAGTAGCAACATACTGATGTAATACTGTGCTCAATATGACAACACTGGGCAGAAACTAATCGAGTGGGGAAAGACCCAAAATGAATATTACTGAGAGTATGTAAGAGTACATTTTAATGCAATGTGCTATATATTTTCTTATCAATTAAAATTAAAATATATATTCATTAATACTGGACTTTATTAAGATTGGTCAAGGCATCTCCTAAGATGGACATACTTAATGTAAAATGGTAACGGTTGAAATTATTTTCAAATCATATTATTTTCTATATTTGGTAAAGAAGCCATTGCTTTTAATGTGTGCATTTCCAAAATACACCTGAAAGAAATAGTACAGCAATATCCCATGCATTTGGTTGTTTTATTGGACTTCATTAAAGATGTAATTCAGGAGTTATGACCTATGTATTGATTACTGCAATATTTGAAAGCATTTCTGAAGAGAAAACCAAAACTGTGTCTACTGCAGAAGAAGAATGAGAACATAGAACATTGGACTGGCAGTGAAATTTGTTCACCAGACAAGATTCAAAGAAGGGAGAATCTGTCATTTTGAAACTGAAGGCTGTCTAGAACCTGAAGGGTTATGTGATTTCTCTCTCAAGGCATTTCTACTTTATGTTATTTATAAAAATAAGTAATGGGGTTTTTTATTGATTTCTCGCAGTAAACTATGTTCTTGAAATACGATTCATTATTTCTGATATATCCTTTTTAGTAAAAGGCTTGGTGATAGATATGTTAAAAGCCAATAAATTTGTGCAGTTTCCACCAACTGTAACAATTGTACTATCTTGTTAGTTAATATTCCATAAATATCTCCTACCTTAATATAATGAATTCATTAACAGAAGTATGGATGTCAGAGATTAACTGCCTTGCTTTTTACTGATGAAAAAAAAACTTTTAATCAGTTGGCAGGCCTAATACCAGCAGCACATACAGTAAGTTGTATTTATTAATTCTATACAGATGCTCAACGTAATTCAATTGTATGACTCATAAATCTTTTACCACAGTCCATGATATTGTATTACACAATTACCATTCTCTTGACCTCAATGACAGCATTTCTCAAGTTGACTTTACTGAGCCAAAAGTCCATTTCATAATACTGAAAGAAGGCAGACTACAGAAATTGCACAACTCAGCTCCTGTTCTGGCACTCATAAAACAAGAACAGCTTCTTTTCAAGAACACTCTGATTATAGAACAAATGCTACAAAATAGCTTGAAAATACACATTTTGGTCCAGGAGATTAAGGAAATAATACTTAAGGCTTAAATTTTCTCCATACACAATTCCTGCAGAATTCAATGGGATGTTTTTGTGAATGGAAAAATATACATTTATGTTGAAAATGAAGTCATTCTTTGATACATATTATAAGTCCACAAAATATTGATGCAGAATTGCAACTAAAAAAAAAAGGCATGACAGAACTACACAAAATACCACAGACTGGAGATTCTTCTGAATCTTTTCTGAAGAATATTGGGGTTTACAAACATACATGCATACACTTTATACAATTCCATTCTGGGGAATGGAACTGAAAAAGAAACAATAAGTTGTAGTGAGCAAAAGTAATTAAAGGCAAGAGATAAAAGAAAATCTAATTATATGAGCTTACACCAGGTTCATTCATTATACCTCTCCGTGTCTTTCTATCCTTGTAAACTATCCTTGTTTCCATCATACCCATACATCAATCTGTACATTGTATACTGGTATTTAAACTTCTCACCTCTCTTTTTTGAAATCTAATCAATTCTATCCAACTATTACTTCCTCAGTCTTCCCCTTCCTCTCAATCCATTCACTCTTCCATCAAATATTAGTTCTGCAGCTTGATCCTCATTCATTTTCTCATGTAACCAAACCACCTCAAAGCACTTTTTCATAATGGTCACTCAGTTTTGTAATTCAATCCACATTCATTCAGCACCCATTCACTTTTGACTCTCTCTCTTCTTGTTTTCTATGTTTCAGATATATAACTCTCAAAAAGAAATCTAGGCAATGAACAGGTTAGTTCTCAGACTGATAAAGATGCAGGAGACCATTGGGTAAACAACCATCTTCAAGGCCCTGGGTTATTGGTGAAGAGACTTGCCTCTTCACTGATTCACAGAAAGGCAATTCAAAAGAAGGTAAACAAGTGTCTGCCCTAATGTACATTAGAATACTGTATACTGATTTTCAAGTGGGAAATAGTTCAGTAGGCAGAATTCTTATTACATCATGCTATTCTTCTCAGTAAATCTTACTCAACAGACTCTATGGAAACTGTGCTTGAGAAATGTTTGTTCAGGCAAATGCCAAAGACAGCCAACCATATGGCTGGACAATAATGAAGTAGGAGATGAAGTTCAGCAGACATACTTGTAAGCCACAAGTATATGGGACAGAATACTTCTAACCTAAAAATATAACATGGGGGGGGGCTTTAAATTAGCATCTATCAGGCTTATACATAAGCATCCAATTCTATAGCCTTCTTCTACAAAATATGAGTTTACATATTTTAGAGTTTACAATTCTAAAATTCTCCTTAAAAAAGGACCATATAATTTGATTTTCAACTTATATGAAATACATTTGAAATTTTAGGCACTTCAATAAAAAAAAGTTAAAGACTAATAAACAATTCCTGATATTTTCAATCTTTACAATTATTTCTAATCAGTAAATTGCATCTCTAATGTAGTTTTGTCAATATATATTAAAATCAACATCCTAATTCATAAAAGTCAACTCATGCTGTGAATCCAGATATCATAAATTAGTTTCACTAGTAATTCTAGAAAATTCCTTCCTTTTACTGAACTATTTTTGCTCAATAAAGGTAGTCCTCACTTAATGACCGTTCATTTAACGATGGTTCAAAGTTACGACAGCCTCAGAAAAAGTGCTTTACAACCCATATTCGCACTTACAACCATTGCAAACCATCGCACCAATACCTGCATGACAGCGATTTACAACCTTTTTTATGCTAATCAGTAAGCAAATCACCGCAGTCATTAAGTGAATCACTGCAGTCATTAAGTGAATCGCATGGTAGTTAAGCAAATTCCAGCAAAAAATGTCCACTGGAGAAGCTGGGTTCGTTTAACAACCACATGATTCACTTAACGACTGCAGTGATCTGCTTAATGCATGAGGTGATTCACTTACCGACTGTTGTAAAAAAGGTTGCAAATCGCAATCATGTGACCATGGGGGTTGGTGTGATGGTTTGCAATGGTCATATGATTGATGAGTCAATCATATGTGATGATTCGCTTACCAAATGGTCATAAAATCGGGTCTGGTCACATGACTCACTTAATGACTGCCCAGCTTAATGACCAATTTTCCAGTTCCTTTTGTGGTCATTAAGTGAGGACTACCTGTAACTATTTTGATAACTGTTTTCTTCTCCCTGATACTTAGCACTACAGGGAATTTTTAATGAAAAGCAAACATACATGTAATATACTTATATGAACATGCAGTACAGATGATATCCAATTGGTCCGTAAACAAGAAAAATAATGCACTGATGTACATTTCTAGTGCTCAAGTACAAAGCTCATATATTCCATTTCTTAACATCAAGAGGGAGCAATAGTTTTCAGATCTAGAGCCATATGTACTGTAGTGCTTAAGTGACAAGTTGGAGGTTGCATTAAAAAAAAAGATTCGAGATTTTTAAAAATGGGTGGAATCTTGATAAAAAATTAGCTTCAATTTAAATTAAAAATAAATTCAAGATAAAATTATGCATTGCAGTCATTACAATTACTCCCACATTTTTAACAACTTTCACCTTTCATCATATTAAATATTACAATTCAGTAATAATTTCTAAAGGCCACACAGAGCACTGATGCTTCATGTTGTGCATCGATGCTCTATTTATTCATCATGAGATCAGATTTATCAAAACAAGTGCATTTTCTAAGAGGAGGGCCCAGTACCACGTCAAACAATGAACTAAGATGATATCGGCTCAAAGTTTCACCTCACTGAATGGGGTGAGCTTGGTCCAATCATATCTAAGACCAGTTAGCTTAGAACTGGTAGGATGATTCCTCTACTAGACTGAAGCTTGATAAAAAGAGTTTGTAATACACATCTGGATTAAAGATGGGTTCTGCATCTGAAAAGGCAGAATTACCTGTTCATGAGTAGCCCTATTTAAGACATTCAGAACTTCACTGCTAGATATAAATGGGATAAATCCATGGTGTAAAAATTAAAAACACAGTGTTGTGCTTTCCAGAAAAAAAATGTATTATGTTGTTTCAAGCCATATAGTAAGAGGAGGGGATAACTTATCTGTAGACATATATGCAGTAGTTTTTTTTC